TGGGGGGTGTTTGGGTGTGGGGGTGGGTTGGTGTGTGTGGGGTGTGTTTGGGGGCGGAGGGGGGCGGGGGGGGGTGATCCATGTGAATGGGCTCAGCCTGAGCTGCAGTCAGAGTTAAGTAGAAGCCCCTCTAAATGTGTTTGCTGTAAGCAGCTGACACATTTATGTTTACTGGAATCCTTATTGCTCTCTGCTGCGTCTAAGTGCTTGTTTACCTTGCTTTCTATACCCTGCGTGTGATTATTGCAGTCTGCAGAATCCCTCCCAGAGTCCTACGTCTGCCAAACGATTTGCATTTGAAATACATGTGGATATAATTGATTTAGAGGCATGGATATTGATAGCATCTTATCAGGCCGGTGCCCATGCCCTGCAGCACGGCGAGGAGGAATAATGGTCCTCTGAGCATTTTTCTGGTCATCTTGCTCCGGCGGATGCACACATAATCTTTAAATGTAGAGAGCGCCTTGGCTTCAGAGCCTCTCCATCTCCCTCTGGGGAGGCATCCATGCATCTTTTAAGGACTCCTCACATCAAGGAGGCCTGAGCAGAGTACCCTGCAGTCTCTGCCTCAATTATTAAAGCCGGGTTCTGACGCTCCGCTGCTTAAACTCGGAGGAGGAGAAGAAAGACGGGCTTCACTTCAAGTCCCTTTCAAGATGGCGGCGGCTTTTCAATCGCAGTTTATTAGAAGGTTCTCTGTTCCTAATGGAGACTTTGGAGGAGGTTCTGAAACATTCATGCGGATCTCGTATCGCAGACAGTTTTGCTTCAAACAGAATGATTCACCGCAGGTTTTTTTTTTTTTTTTTCCAGAGCCGCTCTCGCTGTCACCGCGGGAAAGGAAACGGGTCTGCATCCAATTAGAAGCCGGGACCCCGTTTGCTCGCAGCGCTCGGCTGTGATTGATGCAGTGCGGGGTCTGCAATCGCAGCTCTAACGAAGTCCAAATGGCCCCGGATTGAAACGTTACTTATTGACTCAGTCTGACGAACAATAACATCAACAACAGACGCCTCGGCGTCCTCTGTGCTGGAGATGAGATGAATCAACTCTAACACAAGGCAGGGTCTCATGCAGGCTCTTCTTCACATGTAATATAGGAAGATTTAGATGCTTCCTACGCCCCGATTGGCTCATTGCTTATGTTTTTTGTGTGCAAGTACCCCAACACCCCGTACAGCCGGGCTGATTGCAACGGCACTTTATATAAACTCCATCTATTGTCTCTGTGAATTCCAACTGCCTTTAACTCTGATTAAATATTGATATCTCTGTAAAGCCTTGTCCTGTACCGGCTACTTTATTCAGAGTCACAGGCTCTGTCAGCAGAGAAAAAGAAGAGGGAAGAGTTGTGACATTGAGCTGATTTCAAGCTGAGGTGTGAGAGAATCTGAAAAATACATCTGTGAGAAAGATTGCATGTCCGACATCTGTCGCTCTCAGATAATGTGGTCCTTCAGGAGCTTCAGTGTCAGTGGTTGGGGAATCAACACTCAATAGTTGATATTGAATATCTCATGACGACTCTGGTGTTTGAAAGCAAGTCATGTCTAGGCACCATAACAAATTTTGCTAAACGATAAATTGTCTTGTGATAAGCAATAATAAAAACTACCTGCTTTTTTCCATCAGCAGAGCCTATTGTGAATGCTAGGGCTAGTTAACTTAAAGAGCAATGATGGAAGAGAAATGGTTTTTCTGTATCAGTGAGTTGTTTCGCCGCCATTAGTGCATTTAGCAGTGAGTAAATGAGGTTGAGTGACAGCACTAAACCCCTCCTCCTGATTCTGATTGGTTGTCTTTGGTCAAAGATATCAACAGTAGCTCATGGAGGAGATCCATCTTTTCACAGATTATCTGTCTCATAACAAACTATCACAACATGGCGACAGTTTTGTACATGAAAAACATATTCTTTATGAAAGTTGCCTACTGCACCTTCAAAGTTTTAAAAAGTCAAAAATGTATTTATCTGAAATTAAGTCCTTAAAATAGCTCAAATTCATAAAATGTAAGTTGGCTTTAAATAAGTGGGACTTTTTTGTCAGCCAAAAGTTTGAGTCCAGTTTGACCGGTAACTTTCTGCTAATAAATAAGATAGAGTAAGGTAGCCTAGGCAGCAAGCTAGCTTTTTGCATTTATCATGGGTTCAGTCTTTGCCGCTGGCTCGCTTCTGCTGCCAACCCATATGATGCTACATTCAGTCAGTGTGAAAAAGCTTGTCACTGTGGAGGTTAAGGGGGGTTTTGTGAAAAGCACAAAGCTGCTCCCAAGAGCCACAAACAGACCCCAGAAATGTCAGCGTGTTGATCCTCTGGCGTGGCTGAAGCTCCTCTGAAAACGGTCGCCACGGCTGCTGCTAGCATTGATCTAGCCACGGCATTTGCTGCGACACAAACTCTGAAGTCGAAGGTTTAGTGGATTTTAAACATGTTGGTCAAGCACCACTCTTACCTAGTGAAGAATCTTATTTGTTGCAATGGAGGGAAATACAGCTGAGAAAAAGCAAAGGAACCAAACGAAGACAGAGCCACAGGTGCAGCTACGATGACTCACAGAAAGAAACTAATTAATTCAACAGAAACAAGAATATCTATAGTTAATCTAAAGAAATCTGTACTTTTTTTTGTTATGATGCTGCTCTTAAATGTCATTAGTCTTAAATTTGGGTTGGTGAAACGTGCTGGAACCCCGACACAGTAAACCGACTGTATTTGCTAACGAGAGGATATTTATATCGTTATTTATTTGTTTTGTTTTCCTGACAATTGACTTCACTGAACCAACAGAGAAATTGCGAGGGGAATCTGCAGACGCCATCATCCTGGATTGCCTCCACAAACGAGCCGGAGCTCGCCACCACCTGCGTCTTTATCCCACACTGCAATAGTTGCCACATACTGAGATAGCGCCACTCAATCGCTCTCTCTGTTTTTCTTCCTTCGTCTCGTCTCTCAGCAATTGATCTCCTGCTAGTGGAGGTTGTGGGGTTTTTTCCCTTCCTGTTTTTGCCCCTCTCTCTCTCTCTGTGATTTCCTGATATCTCAGGGTCAAATCAGCATCTGTGTGAAACAGAAACATTTTAGACTGTGAGATGACCAAAGTGCGCGTGTGTGTGTACCACAGAAATGCTGTGCTCTTGGGAGACGGAAGTCATCCACATATAAGAAATGGATGAGGTAATGTGCTGGGAGGGTAATGGCTTTATGCAACATACTGGAACACAGAAGCTCATTAGAAGAGTTGAGGCTAACCCCTCTTTGTCATAACACACTGGAGGAAGCCTGGTGTTCAGTGCTGGAGGAGGAGGTGGGAGGGTGGGAGGTCTGGGGGACATTTTGGGAGGTGGGATAAAATGCTGGGAACCAGCATGGAGAGCTATAATGTATGAACTGGCCTGAATCCAAGGTACAAACAAGCAAAGACGGACGATCAATAAGAAAGCACTCAGTATTAATAGAACATAAGTGAAGTGTATGTCAGTTAAACGTGTAGAAATGTCTGAGTCGGTGGGGACTCATCTGCATTTCTAAAAAATAAAAATAATGTATGTGGTATTAAAAATATGTGTTTAATACCAAAAGATTGTTTTTTTTATTTATTTATTTTAGACAAGGTGCTCAAATTACCATTCAGCAGAAATTAAAAAATTATTCCAGGAAAAACTCATCATTCGGATTTATCTAGTTGAAGACGATCCGGTTTAATCCGGTTTCATTTGAACAAAATCCATATCCAGTACAGTCAGATTTAGGCTGAAATCCATTTCTGTTTTGCTGAATTCCATCCATTTATAACACGGTGCAGTTTGCAGATTATATTGGCTATTTACTCAAACACAGTGAAGCTTTTTAAGCAACCGCAGGACACAGTGACGGCAGCGCTCTCCAGGATTACCTCCACCTCTGGTGTGGATGTGTGAATTAACTGACTGGGCTTTTGCTACAGGAGCATTAACTTTAAATGAAAAATTTAGAAAAGTTTGATCTTTTAATCAAAGGTTAACTATGTGCAAATACGACTGATCATTGAATGCTGCGGAGAAGTATGTAGTTCACTTCCAGTCTGTCCAAAAAGATGCTGACATATTAGTTCAATCAATGTAGCTAATCTGACAGTAATGAAGTCTTTAAAAGCACTGATTTGCATTAAAATGGGGAGAACATGGACTGTTTTCTGGGGGTGACCTAACAAATTGGCCTGCATTTACTTCATTCTGGGAGATGGATGTTCGGCCGATACTCACATGTGAAACCGATTTTATCCACAAAGGTCAGAAAATCTGCCAGTGTCTCCTTCTGCTCTGCCAGGAGACAGACTGACCCATCTAGGTCACCTTTGCACCTAATGATAGTCCCCCGCCTGTTGCCCACTTAGCAACTTTGTCACTAAATTTAGCAACATTTCAGAGAAAATACATCAGTATCCACAAAAGTCAGAATCTTTTTAAAGATTGATGCCTGTACTGTTTTCACATCTTCACACAGCAGTTCAGCTGCAGCTGCTGTTGGATGATAAATTGTACCAGAAGTTATTGCGATAAACGATAATATTGTTGTTGTCAAAGATCATTAAATTTTAAAATCTAATGAACCTTTAACTAGAAGACATTTTAAATATCCAAAATAAATAAAAAAAACAAATGAAATGATTTATGAAGTCTCTCTAAACTAAATTATCTTTCATAAAATGACTGGTTGAGACCCCAAGCACCAGACTGAAGACTTGTCATCCACTTTATGGTAGAAGTTTTCTGACCAGTGACAGATCTTTAAAAATCCTGACCATCTGATTCTGCTGTTATCAATTTGTTCATTTATTTTTCCGCCTAAAATTAAGTAAGTCTTGGCCGATTTATCGGTGAATCCTGTGTGAGAAGTTGAGCAGAGAGCAGTCAGAAACCGTAGCAACCTGCCGCTGACAGAAGCACTGAGACTGAACAGGCCTGCTGCTCAACGAGCTTCCACTTACACACACCAGCTCCTTGTTTACACTCTGGAAGCCTCTATTTTCCAGTGAACCACATGACTCAACCCAATACACACACTTTCATAAAGAATATGAACACTAACCATCTGTTAACTCGTCTGCTGTTTCCCTACACATCTAAACAACACTTTACAGTCCTGCTTTCCCTAATCAAGACAACAATAATATGAGAAACCTTCAATGTGTTACCTGCTCTGTGTGATTGAGACGTCATAGAGCCTCTGTGTGTGTTGGTGGGTTTTGTTTGGCAGGCCGGCAGCGCATGTATCACCAGGTTTCTGGCCGGCACACAGGCAGAGTTTCCGGTCTATTTCCAGCGCAGCGTGTTCATTCTAGGTGACTGGGGTGGAGGGGGTGGAAGGGAGGGTGTGTGTGTCATTAAAGGCCTGTCCTCTGCCTCTATCCGAGTGTGAAATGCTGTGCCTCAGAGATGCTGTTCTGCTTTTGCCTGTTCAACCAGTTTGCCGCAGCTCTGGCCTGGCCGGAAGTTTACACACCTTTTAATGCAATATTTTATTTGTTAGTTTATTTTTTATAACCTATTCCATCTAAAACACACACACACACACGCATACATACACACTCCAACACGCACACACATACACACGCGCACACACACACACACACACACACAATAATATTAATATTACTACTAATATTATTAATAATATTATTATTACTACTAATAATATTATTGCTACTAATAATATTATTAATAAAAGTATAATAATATTATTAATTATTATATTAATTATTATACTAATATATAATGATTAATATATATTATATATCAATGATTGACTAACATTGACTGCAATGTTAGTCAATCAACATTGCAGCTTCAAATAAAAGAAATTCAAAGCAATGTCAGATAACATTGTAGTAATAAGTGTAGCATAGAACAAAAAGGTGCAGGCTGATGATAATCAGCTTACATGTGATTACTCTACAAATAAACATATTGTAAGACCAATATTCTGTTGAATTACAGCTGTTAGTTTCATTTATGAAACAAACCTCCAGCTATTGAATTGTTCTTTTTTTGAACACCATAATTTATCTACTTTTTGTATTAGTACGTTTGGTGAAGTGGGAAAAAGTCAGAAAAATACAAACAGACAAAGTGGACCATGGAGAAAAAAATAAAACAGGATTTTGAAAATTATAGGGCCCTACGTAACGTGACGTAAAAAAAAGTTGCATCAATTTCAAGGCGTCAGATGATGCAAAGCCAAATATCTTTGGAGTAATTTTTTTTGACAAATGCAGTTTTTTCATGACAACTGAAGGTTAATACAGTAACTCCATTGTGCTGTAAAATGGCACTACATGCCCGGAAAATTCATAACACCTCTGCTGTTAAAGCATTGCTAGTTTTTCACACATTATTTGAAACTTTTATAAGAAAACCTCTGAAATGAAACATGTATCACTTAGAGCCTGTTGCCTTCCTAAAAGGGTATCCACTGTTCTCTCATTATCTGTCAGTAAGGAGCAACGAGCCTGTTGGGACATATCACAACAACAATAAAGTCAGCCAGTCACCCCCTTGTTGGCTGTTTAAAAACCATTTTATTGTTGATTTAAAGAGATCAAACTTTACTGGATAAAAAGATACGAGAGCTATATGGGTTTTTTTTTC